AGTCACCCACTGAAACGGATTCAGGTGCAGAAATAACTTTAACTCTTTATTTACATATTTATTATATTTGGTAACTTCAACAATTGAAGAGCTTCAGTTTTTCATCTGTATTTTTCCTTATATTTTCTCATAAAAACTCATGAAAATAAAAACGGAACTGATTTTACCTACAGACAGGAACTAAGCCATATACGGTCACTTTATTCAACTTCATTTACAGCTTAAACATTAATAAAAATGCAGGCATGGTTATATTCAGCAGAAATGTCTGAAACCTTTGAGTACTGGTGTTGGGTTTTGTCCTTTATTTCACAGCTGGTTGAGTCCTCTCAGCTGAACTTTAAACAGGAAAAGTTACCATTCTGTAAAAGGAGTTCTGAAAATCCTAATCATTTTATTTCTATTCAAATTCAACATTTTCCACTGATTCCATCCATAAAAGGTTGAATTTATATTAACCATCTTGTATTTAGAGCCAGAAAACATGAATTAACTGAAATGAAAGGATTTTTCTGGTGTTTTACTCTTTATTTGACTCAAACATGTTTTTTTGTTCCCAGATTTAGCAGCAGGGACACGTGTGAGCTCACATAAATAACACTGATGTAAGAACCTTCACACCTTGAATTAACGGGTTTGCACAGAAAGACCTCCCATCTGCTCCTCCATCCCAGTGCACTCCAGGAAATCGGAGCAGAGCCGGAGCACGGGTGTCTGAAATCAGGATTCCCTCAGAGCAGAGAAGCTTTCCGGATGATTCCTGCTGACTGAGGACAACTATTACATTCTGGGTTTTTTAGTCACACAAGTATGTTGCAGAATCTATTTTATGTTACTAGACTAGAGTTTGGGGGTTCTGGGCGAAGTTTGAGTTTATATCAGGACAAAACTTTTTCCTGTTTTAGCCTCAGTTATTAAAACACAATAGAAATTGTCCTGTCATTGACTCCATAATCATTTAAATTAGATATTACTTTGGTGTTCAGGTTACCCACGAGGATGTTCGTTTTTAGGGATGGTCGACTTCACTCTAACTTTTGGGAGAAAATAACTTTTGGCTACTTTTTAAAACCAAATAGTTAAAACTAAACTAAACAACCTACTACTATTATATATAGGCCTACCGCTAAAAGAAATACTGTAGCTTCCCTCCGGTGTGCTTGTTCCAGGAATGAAAGAGGAGCCAGATCAGTGCTGAGCGAAGCAGGACAGGATCTGGAATCTTATTTCCTGATATTTGTACATCTCTTCTGATTGGATAACAGCAACATGACTACCACTGACTGTTTGCTCTGCAGCGTTGTTTTATCTCTACAAATAACAAGCCTGGAGGAGTTGTGCTGTGTGGTGGAGATGCTAATGCTAACAGTGCGCTTTTACTAGTGGAGACGTTCAGTTTCCTGGAAGCTAAATCAGCAGCAGCATTCCACGTCAGGAATCAAGATGGGTGAGTCTGTGGATGTTCATCAACAGTGTGACATAGATCTGTCAGGCTTTTCTGATACTAGACTTTCACTGTCTGTTTTCCATTAGAAGTTAATGCAGCAGATAGGTGTAGGAGACTATTTTCATGCTCAGCCCGCACAGAGTCACCGATTATCATTAGAAATAAGATTTTAAATGGTGTTTTTCTGTTAAGTATCGCTTTAAAGACAGAATCTTGTTCTCAGGCCGTCACAGAGATTGCTGAGGGTCAGAACAAGGATGGACCACATCAGATCTTCTCACAACAGCCCATGTCCATCCTACCAAGAACACACCGAGCTACTTCTGTTGAGTTGATCATCAAACTTTACATTCACATTTCAGAAGATCAAGTCTCCCCTAACAGCATCATGTAGGCATCTGAAGGTAACTCAGGTGGGACAGACTGAAGGACCTCTCACAATCAGATCAAAGCAGAGGAACAGAGCCTTGTTCTCAAAGTAATCAGCTGAAAACCTCCATCGTCCCTTCCTGCCCTGACTCATCAGCAGTAATGAGGCTGCCATCCACCATCTCCACCAAGTGTCCGTTCCTCATTAGGCTCCTCTCTAATTGAAAGTGTTGTGGTGGACAGATCGGCGTACGAGAGCTGAGAGAGCAGATAACGAAGCCATCTTTGTGCCCCGCTCTCCTTGGCTTTGATCTTCAGCAACAGAACATCACTCAGAGTAACAGCAGAGTTCACACAGCAAGACACGGAACACTGGAGTCAATAAAGACAGCTTTTTATCAAAAGGCTTATACATTTGTCTTAAACGAAGGTAACTTTAACTGGTATTAAAATAATCTGAAAAAAGTTCTTGTTTACATCTACCTCAGAGCTGGAACCTTTAACAGCTTTGGTTAGGAACAAAATCCATCAGATGATTCATGAAAATCTGGGTCTGTCTTGGTATTTGTAGCCGTTATACAGGGAGAGCAGAATTATTAGGCAACTTCCTTTCCTTTAGCAAATGGTTCAAAAGAAGGACTTGACAGGCTCAGAAAAGTCAAAAATAGTGAGATATCTTGCAGAGGGATGCAGCAGTCTTAAAATTGCAAAGCTTCTGAAGCGTGATCATCGAATCAAGCGTTTCATTCAAAATAGTCAACAAGAGTCGCAAGAAGTGTGTGGACAAACCAGGGCGCAAAATAACTGCCCATGAACTGAGAAAAGTCAAGCGTGCAGCTGCCAAGATGCCACTTGCCACCAGTTTGGCCATATTTCAGAGCTGCAACATCACTGGAGTGCCCAAAAGCACAAGGTGTGCAATATTCAAGAGACATGGCCAAGGTTCAGTTCGAACTTCCTGAAATTAAATACAGACAAAACAGAACTTCTTTTGGTTGGTACCAAGAACACCCTCTCAAAATTTGAGTTTCTCTCTCACAGTTGATAATATTTGTTTCCCCCTCTCCCCAGGTCAAGAGTCTGGGTGTCATCCTAGACGGCACACTATCCTTCCAATCTCATATCAATAGCATACACAGTCAGCTTATTTCCATCTTCGTAACATTAATCGTCTTTGCCCCTCCCTTGATGTCCACTCTACTATTCTTGTCCATAGTCTGGTTCCATCACGTATCTATTATTGCAACTCTCTTCTCAGGCCTCCCTCAGAAAACCCTCTGTAAGCTCCAGTTGGTTCAGAATGCAGCAGCACGCATCATTACTAAAACTCCCATCTCTCATCACCCCCATCCTCAAACAACTCCATTGGCTATCAGTGCACACCAGGATTAACTACAAGATTCTCCTTCTCACCTTCAAGGCCATCCATAACCTCGTCCCTCACTACCTCACAGATCTCGTTCACATCGTCCTGTTCCTTCAGGTCCTCCTCCTTCATTCATCTCTCTGTGCCCTCCTTTCTTTTCAGCACCATGGGGAGTAGAGCCTTCAGCTGCACTGCTCCCAAACTCCCTTCCCCTCTCAAGAACATTAACTCATTCACAGAATTAAAAAAAACAACTCAAAACTCACCTCTTCATAACCCCATATCAGCTTTGAATTTTAGAGTGCCCTGTTTGTTCATGTTTACGTGTTTACTTACTGAATGATTTGTGTTTTTATTCTGTACAGTGTCCTCGAGTGACCAGAAAGGCGCTTTTAAATAAAATGTATTATTATTATTATTATTAAGAAAGGCTGAAAGACGACCACCACTGAACAAGACACACAAGCTGAAACATCAAGACTGGGCCAAGAAATATCTCAAGACTGATGTTTCTAAGGTTTTATGGACTGATGAAATGTGAGTGAGTCTTGATGGGCCAGATGGATGGGCCCGTGGCTGGACTGGTAAAGGGCAGAGAGCTCCAGTCCGACTCAAATGCCAGCAAGGTGGAGGTGGAGTACTGGTTTGGGCTGGTATCATCAAAGATGAGCTTGTGGGGCCTTTTCGGGTTGAGGATGGAGTCAAGCTCAACTCCCAGTCCTACTGCCAGTTTCTGGAAGACACCTTCTTCAAGCAGTGGTACAGGAAGAAATCTGCATCCTTCAAGAAAAACATGATTTTCATGCAGGACAATGCTCCATCACACGCGTCCAAGTACTCCACAGCGTGGCTGGCAAGAAAGGGTATAAAGGAAGAAAAACTAATGACATGGCCTCCTTGTTCACCTGATCTTAACCCCAATGAGAACCTGTGGTCCATCATCAAATCTGAGAGTTACAAGGAGGGAAAACAGTACACCTCTCTGAACAGCGTCTGGGAGGCTGTGGTTGCTGCTGCACGCAATGTTGATGTTGAACAGATCAAAACATGACAGAATCCATGGATGGCAGGCTTTTGAGTGTCCTTGCAAAGAAAGGTGGCTATATTGGTCGCCGATTTGTTTTTGTATTGGTTTTGAATGTCAGAAATGTATATTTGTGAATGTGGAGATGTTATATTGGTTTCACTGGTAAAAATAAATAATTGAAATGGGTTTATATTTGTTTTTTGTTAAGTTGCCTAAAAATTATGCACAGTAATAGTCACCTGCACACAGATATCCCCCTAAAATAGCTAAAACTAAAAGCAAACTAAAAACTACTTCCAAAAACATTCAGCTTTGATATTGAGTTTTTTTTGGGTTCATCAAGAACATGGTTGTTGTTCAATAAAATTATTCCTCAAAAATACAATTTGCCTAATAATTCTGCACTCCCTGTACACTTCTAAATGATCATGTCAGTTTGTCTTTGAGGATTTCCTTGTACACATTGCTTTTCCAGGACTCTGAAGCTCCACCCCTCAATGTGACCTGGCGGGCCATCATCATAAAAACAGTTCTAAAATTCAAAGCTCAGATGCGTCTAAATCAGGAAGTACAAGTCAGCTGGTGGAGAAAGTTGTTTCAGAGGATTTTGAGTCTTATTTCCTGATATTTAGACATCTCACCTCTGGCCAACAGCAACACAACTCTACTAAAGACTGACTTAAACAATGTTTGAGCTCCACAAATGACACAAGCCTTGAGGAGTTCTGCTGTGTGGTGGAGTTCCTCCACACCGGTCACAAACTAAAGACAAAAAAACAAACGACACGTGCTGGTCTAAACACATAATGCCCTGGGATTTTTATTTCATTTTGTGACAATTCAAGAGGAATCTCTTTTTTCTGTGTGTGGTGGTAGGGTCTACAAAAACAGAAGTCATGAATCAAACTGGGCCATTGTAATGGGAAATGTGGTACAGACAAAGAAAAACTACAAGTAGCATTGTTCCGTACCAAACTCTTCACAGAAGAGGGCATCTTTAAGTTGTATTTTTTCCCAAATGAAGGCACCCGATAACATGTGGTTCATGGCCTTTCAGCCTTCAGGAGTTTTTAAGTAGAGAAAACAGTTTTAATTACTTTTTTAAATTCTTACATGTTTTATTATATAGAAGCTGGAATGATATATGTCAGTTACTGCATTTCTCCACTCCCTTTGAGTTTTTTTTCAAGCAACAAGTAACAAAAGAATGAAGTATTTCATGAGCCAATCTAACATAAAAGTGGGCAATACAAAATATTTTAAAAAATTTGATGGGGAGGGGAAATAGAAAATGAAGTCATCTAATGGAAGCCACAGACCAAAAATCATACAAACGCAGCATCCATCAAATAAAAAAACAAATCATATAGTGCTTAAATACGTCAAAAGCAGCAAAGTCTTCATCCCCATTATTTTGTTACTTGTCTCAGGAATAATCAGTATGGAAGAGCGTTGTGGAGACGGATTAACCGGCTGACGCCTAAGACAATCTGCCGCCCAGCGTCTGAATATTTGTGGAAGGATGCCGGACACAACACGCCCGACGCAAATTTAGAAAGTTGTCGAATGGTCTAGCAAAACAAGCAGCAGCGAGAACCGGTGATGGGGTACAGTGTTTTAAAAATATGGCATGAACAGGAAGAAAAAAAGATTTGTAAACACGGCACAATAAATAGATCCAACAGCAGGTTCTGCACCATGCATGTGATGACACCTTTTTTCTGTGGTACGTTTCGCTCCTTAGACTTGCACCAGTTGCAGTTTGTCGTTTACTCTTATTTTTTTTTATCTCGAGTGCAAAACATCACAAATGAACAATTCTGTATTCAAGTAATGTTATATACAAGAACAAGGGGCAGGGATATTACAAATATGCAGTACTGTACATATAATTGCCATATTAATTTACAGATGATCTCTTATCAACAGTAACAAACAGGGAAATGGGGAGAGAAGAAAAAATTTGTACGAGACGAGCATTGCAATTAAGTCCCAAAACAGTTCCCATGGAAACCCAACCTTGCCGTGCTCATTCAGCCACCGCTTGCATTCACGACTAACAAATGATGCATAGCACCTAAAAAACAAACAAAAACAATGATGAGTCAGGTTTTCTCGGAGCTGAGCGCCTGAGGCTACGTGACCTCCATGGCCACTGTGTTCTCTGATAGACTGTTCAGTGCTGGCTTGTCTTGTTCATGATTCTCCCTGTGAGGGAAGCAAAAGGAGAATCATCGTCAGCAAAAAGCCTAAATAACAGTTTTTTTTTTTGTTTTTGTTTTTTTACTCATCTCCCAAAACCCGAACCTGTCAATCTGGTCTGTTTACAATCTCACCTGGCTTTTCTTTTATTTCTTCAAAAAAACTTGCAACATTTAAATCTGACAAAAAAATTTTTATATAAATGTATGAAGTTTCAAGACAAGAAGTCCACTTTAGTCTTGGCCATTTCTAAACTAGCCATTAGCTCATCAGTCCTGTGGAATGTAAAAACTAATTATAACCACAGATACAAACTACTAGCAAAAAGCTTCCTACTTTTACTACTTTTGTTTCTGATGACACAGACTACAGCTCTGAGAAGCTTTGGGCTTTTAGACTCCAGGTTCTGGTTTAAATAAATAATATTAAAATTAATAAAAATAAATAATAATAATAATAATGTGAATTTCCCCTTCAAGTACAGCATACACCTGTCCCATGTCCTCACCTGGGCATCATGTCCAGCGGGGATGCAGAGGCTGTGGGGACCTTGGGTTTCTGACAGTTGGCGGTTCCTGCATGTGGGAGCTTTAAGGCAGATGTTGACATGGTGGAGCTCAGCGTCCGCGGGGCGTGGATGCGCTTTCCGGTGGGAATTCGGAGACTGTTGTTTCCCAGCGGGACCTGAGTGGTGGCGGTGCCAGTAGTGGTGTTGGCAGGGTGGGCGGTGCCATTGTTGTTACTGGTGGTGGAGCAGGGGTGGAGCAGGGAAGATGTCAGGGTTGTGGTTTGAGGAGCAGGGGCAGCTGGGAACGGGGACGCTGTGCTGGAGAGCGGCAAGCCCTTGTAGACACCTGGGTGGGTTACAGGGGCCGGTGGTGGGTGGGGGAGGGGCATGACAGGGTGGGTGGGTTTTAAGATAGTTAAAAAATATTTTGTTAAAAATTTGAAACAATAAACATCCCGTCAGTTTTGAAGGAACCCTTAGTTTTTGAATAAACTTTAAGCAGACACTGAAATCTGAACATCAGCTGTGAGGCTGAAACAGAAAAATAGATCAAGAGCTAAAATTACACCAGGTCATCTGAACTCTGGGATTTGATAGACAAAGTTTAAATTACAGACTTACCGTAAATCCTCTAATACAGGCCTGGGCCTGTATTTGACTCAAGCACATCAAGCTCCAGGCCTTTATTGGAAGGAGGGCCAGTATTAGAGGCAGGCCTCTATTTCTATTTGAGCAAAATGAACTAATGGTTCGTTGGAGTTTTTGACAATTAAAATTGCGCCCACATTTTATTTCTTTTAACAACGGTAGTTTCTGCTTCAGCCCTCTCCCCCCTCCCCCTGCGCAGTGGCCGCAAACTCACTGATGCGCCTGCAGCCTCTCGGTGTTCCGGCTGCTCTAAACATTAAAATAATTATTTCATTTTCTGTTCCTCACTTCTGATTACCTTCAATGGTGTTTGTTTGTTGCAACCACCAGGTACAAAAGCAAATTTGTTCTTATTTGACTATTTTTCTGTCCTGTCTGTTTATTATCTTCCTGCATCTCCTCTCAATCCTAAAGAAAAACTGCTACCTGGGTTCATATATATTCACCTTATGAGTTACCTTTGAACTGCAGTTCTAAAAGATCTACCGATCGCAAAAACAGCGGAGTGCTCGCTGCTTGCCGGCCGCATCAGTGATCGGTGCGTCACCGGAGGACAAGTTGATGCGCCCCGTTCCACAGCGAAACGTATCAGGCGCAAATAAAGGACAGAAAACATCAAAGGAAATGAACTGACATGAACGATCGCGTGTTAAATTAGTTTTTGAGGTGGCGACACCTGATTGTTACTGTGGCCGTGCTCAGGAGGCAGATCTACCGACCGCAAAAACAGCGGAGCGCTCCCTGCTTGGCGGCCGCATCAGTGATCAGTGCGTCGGAGGACAAGGTGATGCGCCCCGCTCCACAGCAGCGAAACACATCAGGTGCAAATAAAAGACAGAAAACATTAAAGGAAATTAACCGACATGAACGATCGCGTATCAGTACCGACGCTCTGGCACAGCGCGTTGCCCCCCGAGCGCAGGAGCTTGTCACCTGCTGACAGCAGGCTGCTGTCTTTTCCGAGGGCTGCATCTTGCCGGTCATTATCACGTGACAGCGACTAGTCGACGACAGGCATAAAAAGTCACTATAGTGAAGTCGACTAGTGACTAGTTCATACAACCCCTGCTACTGCTCCCCAGAGTGTTCTGCAGCATAATCAGCACGTTCTCTTTGAACTTGATATCAAATTTTCGCCTCCTCTTCGTCTCCGCACGGTTAAAGTTACCCTCGCGGTCTATCACTGGCAAATCAAAAGTGAGACGACACAACCGCCCCCCGTACTTGCTTGTTACCACATTCCACCCGGCCACAATAAGAGACCGGCCATTATTCACCTCCGCCGACTCCGGCCAAAATTGGAGACCCGGCCTTTAATTGAATACCGGCCTGTATTAGAGGATTTACGGTATTTGTTTTAAAAGTTGTGCCTCAGAGGTACGAGCAGTGATTGTGGTTTGGCTGCACTCCAAAAGTGTAACGTGTTTCTGACAGAGACAATTGTTCAAGCAAACAAATTAGTTTTATTTTTTTATTGAGCAATCTTAGACTCATCGTTTGAGTCTTGAGTCAAGCTGTACCTGAGGAGAGGATGCCATTGACTCCACCTCCCAGGGCCAACTCATCCTTGGATTTCAGAGCCAGCAGTTGTTCGGTGGTGACGAGGGCCGAGGCGGCGAACTGAGCACTGGCCTGGTCCAACGTGTTCACCAGACTCTGTTGAAAGAGGAGCGGTGTGTTCACAAAACGGATCAGAACCTCAGAACCAGACAGCTGTGTTTGAGTGAGTGGGACGCTGACCTGCATGCTGTTGGCAGTGCTGTTGGCTTGCTGCTGGTGCTGGATCTGCTCCAGCTGCTGTTTGTGCATCAGGGCCAGCTGCTCCTGATGCTGCTGGTACTGTTCTGCCGTGAAAGCTGAAACACACAAATGTCTTGTTACAAACCAGGAAGAAGACACAACTCAACTGATCTCAATGAGACACAAAGATATGACCAAGTTCAAGAAAATGCAGCTTCAGTAAGAGGAACGGTCATTTGTTTCCTCTCAGATTAACTAGTGGGTTCTAATCTACGGTTTTAACTCTAGGGACATGCTGGCAGCTGCTCTGCACACAAAGCAAATCAAAAACATGAGTGGGAGGTTTGTTTGCAGCGAAACATTGTGACGCTGAATTAATGGTTTTTCAGACTCTTCAGAGATCGTTTTCCTCCACCTTCTCTGCTCCAGTAGGAGAAAATAATCATACCAACAGGAAACCTAACACAGAAAAGTCCTTCACACTGAACTAAATCCACAGGTGGTCGCAGCTTTACCACCACATGCTTGCTCTGTAATAAAATACAACACTAGAGCACCTTAAATTTACTCAAACTTCTCTTTTTATTAAATTCTCAATCAATATTTAAAAGTTCTGTCAAAATTGTGACTAGGGCTGCAGCTATTAAATGTTTCAGTATTTGAATGTTCTATCAAATCCTCCATCGATTAATCGAGTATTCGATTTGACGACGTTTTAAGTGAACAAGATTATGGTCTGCTGCTAAAAATATGAAAATCAAACTACAAAATAATAAAAGGCTCAATAATATATATTAAATTGGTGTTCCCCCTTTCCCAACAGATGCTTTTAGTTTACAAATATTTAATGGAACAAAAATGACTTGCATTTCTATCACATTTTAGGTTTGTATTAATATCACTCATCCTAGTCAAAATAACTTATTTGAATGAAATCACATATAATCAGTAGACTTTATTTCATCAACATGTTCAGTAGTAAGCTACTGGAAATGCTAACATTTAACTTCTACTGGTAACAATGTACTTGTGTTACATATATTTTATTACGTATGGCTTGGCAACATAATCCAGTCTCATTTGTATTCAAATGTGAAAGCATTTGTGTATTACATGCTACAACGGCTTGTCATATTCCTGCTGCTGTGGATAGAGCAGACTCGTAGCAACAACCAGATAGCCGCAGTGGCTTTGCCCCACACCGCTGCATAAACAGGATGGTGGGGATTTTTCTTCCGCTTGTAGAGTTTAGTCGTTCACAACCACCACGGTTTTTTCTGAACCACACTTGCTCGTGAGAATGCTACCCGCTAGCTTAGCATTAGCAATTCTGCTCGTAGTTTCACTCTTGACCCCAAACTTAGGGCCGTTTCTGCCTTTTACAATGGTTTCCGTCTTTGCTGGTTTCTCCATTTTCCTCCACAGCACCGAGATTGCCAGGTAGTGCGCCAGTAAAATGTGCTCATACTGTGGAGCACACTTTTAACAGCTTTGAATCAGTACAGAAAGGAATCGAGGAATTTAATGAATCGAACCATTTGAAGAATCGTTTCAGCCCTAACTGTGACACGTTGATGAGGAGATTCAATAAAATCTCATATTTGTAGGGTTTTGGGATTAACTTGCTTTCTGGAACAGCCCCCTGGTCTCAGATTACTTGAAAATGTCTTAAAGTCAAACGTCATTGAGCATCAATCAGAATCTGACTAATTCATTCATTCATCCCCTCAACTAAACATTCTGAGCATCTTTTTTGCAGATTCACAGGATCAGAAATCAACGAGTAGACATTTTTCATGCATTTGACAAGAAAAATCAAACCCACTTGGGCCTAGTGGCTTTTAGTCTGTATGCAGCGCCTGTGTGTCTCCCTGTCAACACACCCACAACCCCACACATTTATTTATCAAATCCAGTTTTAATTGACACCACGGGGACCACGTGGAGCCAGGAGGTGAAAGTGTCATAATGCTGAAAAAAACAGCTATGGTTCAACTATTAAATCCCTCCAAAGCAAAACAATCCAGTTTAACCTATAAGTGCTGCACTTGGAAGGGCCTCAGAAAGTCAGTTTTGTATCAATATGAAAATATTTAATAACTTTATGAAGAACTAAACAGCAAAAATATGAAAAAGAAATTTCTGAACAGATGATATACAACATTAATAAAAATGTGCCATTTGTAATTTTACAGTACATTTAACATTTACACCAAATGAATTCATATTTATTTTACCAGCAGCACTCACCACATAACTCAGTCACATCATAAATGAACAAATTTGTAAGAAGCTGATTATAGTTTTCAGGAGGACACAAAGAACTCTGCATTAAAGACACTGCATGTCATTTCCATGAGCGTCAGATGATGAGTTGTTATTCCTTTTATTCCAAATTAAGAAGAAGATGCACTCCCCCAGAGCTCTTATTGTGAAGGTTTATATTCAGTGGAACTGATCAGGATGACTTGTTTAACCAACAAGTTGTGCAATAATTTTTGGCGTTTTTATTAAGTATGTGTGGACCCATGAGTCAAAGTGGTAAACACTTGCGCTGGGCACCGACAGTCAGTAGAAACCGGTAAATGAGCCACAGAGCTCCTGTCCTCCCACCGCCGTGCGTCATGTGACCGAGGTCTCACTCAAACAAAGCCCCAACCCTCAAACAAAAGAACACTTTAGACATTGTAAAAGAAAAAGCCAGAAAATAAAACAAAAACAAACGGTTTGGCTGCATTTGTGAAAGTAAAATATAGGAATTAATGATTAATTGCATATGCAATTAAATTGCAATGAGACAAAAGCAGATTTTCTAATCGCAAATGCTGCTATTTGACTGGCAGCGAGTGGTTAGCACAATGCTAATATACATGGAAGAACCCATAGGGATGCTAATGCTAATATCGCAAATTACGTTCTTACAAATTGGGAATGTGCCAAATGATTACATTTGGAGTCTAATAACAGGTTTAAGGGAGCTAAATTTAAGACTTTTTAAGACCTTTTATTAAGGCCATTTGGACCAAATTTAAGCTATTTTTAAAATTAAATTTAAGCTATAATTTCCAGCAATAGCCTAGATCCGGTGCTAACCACATCGCGAACGTGGGGATAAGCCATCCAGTTACCATTAAACTTCCCCATGGCGCAAGCTCCCACTAGCTTAACCAGCTAATGTGCTCATCTAAAAATAGCCCTCTTTCACAACCAGCTGAATGTGTACGGTTCCGCTTACGCCAACATCGTACACAAAAATGCTGAACACTAACTAGAAATTCACGAAATTTTTATAGAAATAAAAGAATCTTGTTTAATGGGTCTTTGGTAATTTAAGACATTTGGAAACTGTATTTTAAGGATTATTTGTAATTTTTAAGGATTTTTAAGGCCTTGAATCTGGAAAAGCTAATTTAAGACTTTTTAAGGACCCGCGGATACCCTGAATAAAGAGTAAAAACTGCCATCGATCAAGTAAGTACAGACAGATATTTTAGTAAACGGGTGGACCGTTAAAGCGCCCGAGCGCCAATGGCGCTAAATTTTCTCGTCGGGTGGTAAATATTTGACGACTTACCGCCCGGGTGGCGCCCAAGCCTTGTTTGTCATTTACACACCGGCTTTCACCTACATCATGGCCCCGCCCTGTAGGAAGCTGCCGTTTTCATTTCGCGCGCGTGAACCTGCACGCCTCTAGCCAAGTACTGCACTTGTACGATTCGTGCACGTGCTGCACGATTCTCGTTACAGTCACGTGAACTATAAGTTCACTATTAAAGACGAAGTGGAACCACGCTAGAAACACACAAACATGCAGGAAGATCGCGCCACCACAGGGATTGGATTTCTTGATGAAATCTCTGGCAAAATGCTTTAAAACTGGTGAGGAGAAGTGAGACAGTTCGAAACGGTTTGAAGCAGAGAAGCGTGTGCGTAGGTGGAATGATTCTTGGCAGTTTAAAGAAGACGGGAGGCGCAGAGAATGGCCGTGTTCGAGTTGAGCAGAGCCTCGCCTGGAAAACAGACGAGAGCAGATGGAAGCAGCAGGGGGAGTGGCTGAAAGCCGGCGTTTAATAAGTCGGACAGATTTCCCTACGTGTAGCTCCGGGGTGACGATGGCTGAAGATATCGCGTTAGCATTCGCACTTGTTCAACTTTCAATTTTAATTCTGGTGCCTGTTAGCAGCTGAAACACATCCTCACGTGCTTGTGGATATCATATATTGTATATGAAAACATGACTGTAATGATAAGTAAAGGTTATCAGCTGTAGCTTCAGTGTGCTCGTAGGAAACGTGACAAAAGAACACAAATCACATTTCTCTTTATGGCCTATATAGTTGTCATCATCAACATAACGTGATTTACAGAATACATGTGACCAAGTAACATTTCATGTTCTACCACCGGATGTTTGGATCAAAATATGAACCAATCAGATCTTAGATCAGGTGAGAGCCAGGCGTTTCCCGTCATCCCCTAGGTTTTGCAGCCGGTGGAGAGCAACTGCAGCGCCTCACTCTAAAATTTGCGGCCGCCTTGATCTCACAAGGTTATCGTTGCCTACGTATGCATGACGTCAGAGCAAGTTGGCGTCGAGTCAGACACAAATCTAACCGGCATGCACTGCTCGCCGATCACCGCTGGTCTAATCTGCGCAGAACTGGCTCATCTCAAACACAGTCAATGGCTCGAGTACAGCAAAGCGGAGTTGGTGATGTACTGTGTTGTATGTCGTAAGTATGTGACGACAAAATCGAGTTTTGTTGAGGGAACAAACAAATTCAAACTTGAATACGTTATTATGTTTGTGAATGTGTACAAAATAAAGGTTTATTACATTTAAAACTGTTCAGTTGTTATTTTGACTCATTTTGGCAGCTGACCAGCGGGGCCGGTAGATTCTTGGCGGGGCCGGTAAATATTCAGTTACCGGCCCGGCTGGCCAGTTGGTTTTGAAGTTAATGTCCACCCCTGGTAAAGCTAGAAAACTATAATAGACTTGGATATAACTGAACTATGGAAGCTCTGCATTAGGGCCGGGACGACGCGTCGACGTAATCGATTACGTCGACACGTAAAATACGTCGACGCAAATTGCGTCATCACGTTCAAAAACAAACATGGCAGCGGCGAGTAGTGGCAACATGAGCAGGGCAGTCGACTTAAATCACTCAACCCGAACTCGCAGTTCAAAGGTATGGGACTATTTTAACGGAAAAGGAAGCAATTCAGTCGTTTGCTGGCTGTGTAAAGTGGAAATGGCCTATCATAAAAGCACGACGGCTATGCACCAGCACCTCAAACGAAGGCATCCAGGAGCAGCTTCGGCAAACGAAAAAACACCGTAAGTTTTCAACTTTTTTTTTACTAACGCTGTTTTATAACATCCAAACACTCCCACGTAGCCATGCACTAACTCACACACACAAGCAGACCCACTGCTGCCACGCTGCTTAGCAGTAACAAATAGCAGCAGCTGTTATCTGTTTTGTTGGTTTTTATTTGTGGCTCATGATGGCCAAATGAGTCGGAATGCACACGTGCTGATTATGAGAATCGGCCAGAGCTGAAAATGTGGGACAGCGCTAATTGTCCGCAGTAAAAATGTTAACAAAGACAATGTATCACCTGCTAAATGTAGCCGTCATGGACATTATTACAATATTGTTGAAGTGCTTGCAAAAGCAAAATGACAACGGACTCTTGATTGTCAAGTTTAATGCCTCATCCTGTTTGAACGTTAGCTTGTTTATCTTATAGATCTAAGTTGCACCATCTAATGACTACAAAAATGTGCAGCATTTTGTGTTAAAAACCTCTTTTTAAACAAATCTTATAGATTAAATATTTTGAGAAAACACTGAATTACAGATCTTCAAATTATTATTTTGATATTATGCTTTATACATAAATATTTTGTAATAATTTTAATTCATCTGTGTGTTGTCTGTGTGATTTATGTTTTCAGGAACAAACAGAAAAGTCTGGAGGACTACTGTCAGAAAAGAACGCCCTGCACCCCCCAGGAGGTGGCTGTACTTACTGAAAGCGTCCTATCTATGATTCTGAAAGACATGAGACCACTTGCTGTGGTTGAGGGTGAAGGATTCAAAGAAATGCTGACCACTTTTCAACCAGGTTACACTCTGCCTTCTAGGCGCCATTTTACAAGCATGATGGAGAGAAAGCATCAAACTTCAGTTGAGAAACTAAGGAACGAACTAAAAAAGGCCTCATCCAAAATCTCCTTTACCACTGATGCTTGGACAAGTCTAGTCACAGAGTCCTACTTAGGTTACTTATGTTAGATTTTGTTTGTTAAAAGACGCCATTGCTGCTATTTATATATATTTTTTTGTTATAAATTTTCCTTGATTTATATGAATAGTTTGCACAACATATGATTTTTTGTTAAATGTTATCTCTAACGTAAGATTGTACTACTATTACAACAACTTTATTTTTGAATTTTTTAATTAAAATGTGTTCAAATGAAGAAATTTGCATTTATTTCATTGAGATACATAAATTAGTAATAATCAAACTGCTATACAAGTAAATAATTGGGAAATAATCAATAATTTAATCTAATCAAATTAACAAATTAATCGTTAGATTAATCGATGCATCGAAAAAATAATCGCTAGATTAATCGATTACAAAAATAATCGTTTTGCCCAGCCCTACTCTGCATGGACAAGACGTCAAAAACTCTAAACACAAAAGACTTCAACAAACAGGACACTTTTCTGCAAATGCATTTTCACAGTTGATGCCAATGCCTATGGCTCCTTCAAAAAAATGTGCTCCTGGCTGCAAAGCATCGCACCTTCACATACAAAATTTTGTCTTTACTCATGAGTGTTTGTGTATGTGTCGACAAATAGACTTGTTGATATATGTAGATAAATATGTAGATACATAAACGTGTTTATATTCAGTTATATCAAATTTTTTTTGCTTCCCTTAACTGAAAAATATGAGAAAAGCCCCTTGAGAAAATAATTGTGAATTAAATTGCAATATTTAAGGGGGAAAAAATGCTATTAAGATTACTTGATTAATTGTTCAGCCCTAGTAAAACAAACGGAGATAAACAACATCTGTGTTGCTAAATAAGTTGAGCTATTTGTGTCATGATGACAAACCCCCACTTACCAACTGTGGGTGCAGGGACGACCCTCGCCGGGCGCAGCAGTCCATACGGCTGACCTCCACCTGAGGCAGTGAGCGGGCACTTCACGCTTCGACTTATCCTCCTGAACAGAGGGTGGGCGTTGTCCAGCTCATGTAGTGGTAGTGTCCGTGGTCTAAAGTGCCTCCATCGGCAAGACTTTATATTCAACAGTATCTGAGTGAGGTCCGTGGAGGGGGGCGAGGACGGGAGAACGGAGTTGTTAAGGGGTGGGGAACTTCTGTCCGAGGTATTTGTTTCTGAGGTGCTGGCAAACTTGTCGGGGGCCAGTGAGCACGGAGTAGCTGAAGGAGGAGAAGCAGGTAGAGGCAAATCATGCATCTCTGAATCCAGCCCATGGAACACATTGTCGTAGTCTGTGTGCGCTCTGTCCAGTAACACCCTGAGACAAAAAATTAAATCAGAGAAGCTTTCACAACAGAATTGCAGTCAAAAGGTCTCAGGACTCAGCTGACCTGCCGCCTCGTCCCACACGACGCCGAGCCATGCCCAGGCATTGACGTGGCACCGTGAGCGTAGTGAGACTGTAGCGAAAGCGGTCCTGAGCTAAACCACCCTCACAGGGGTCGCACCACGGCCAACTACCCAGCAGGTCCCGACGAGCCTAGACAACCGAACAGAACTTATGATGATGGGACAACAAGAGGAGCTCTCAGACTAAACTACTAAAATAAAAACTAGAAGACTAAGACCGTTCCCTAAAACTCGTCTTTAACTAGTAAAAAGTTTTGGTAAACTTAAGGTGACTGAAGTGACTCCTTACAGCATAATACTGGCATCCTGCCTTCCTGCGAAAGGCGTAGGCACCATCTGGGTCATTCTCCTCCTCTGCTTCTGAAGAGCCTGAGTGCAGCTGTGGACACGAGGTCAGAGGTCGGTGTGTAAGTTCAGAGGATCAAATTTTCATTTATCAAAGAGCAGTCTAAGTCTTGCACTAAAATCACCAAGCAATGAAACAAAACCCAACAGGCTTGTTTTGGTTTCATTTACTGGACACCATTAAGAGCACCTGGGAGTAGGGCTCATCGTCTGAGCTGGGGAAGTCATACTGGTTCAGGTCCTTGGCGTTGAACACAACTGGACCTGGATGGTGGGTGGCACCGGATAACGGTAGCGCCTTCTTTTTCTCATATTTCCTCTTCTGTCGTGGAACTTCTATCTTCTCAGGCTGGAGGAAGAGTGAAATTGTTTAATGACATCACACAAGACATGTATTGAACTTTGTGTCCCAGTTAGCCAACTCACCTTGGACTTGTAGTCTTTGGAGTCCATATGGTCCTGGTGTCTGCACTGATTGGTGAGAGGGACCAGAGGAATGATCTGTGGTCTCACCAAAGCTCGTTCAGCCAGAACCTCTGCCATCACTTCTCCTCCGAAGTCAGACATGACATTTCTGAGAAGAAAAGGAAAAACACGTTTATAAAACACTAAACAGTTCCTCAGAGCTTCACCTTTTCCCTCAAACTGAACCAGCAGAACAACACTTCCTGCGAGCAGTCAGTCACCTTTAACCCTCAGTTTCACAATCTAAACAAATTAAGTGTGTGAGTGAGAGGGGTGCTCACCTCTTCTCGAAGACCTCCAGGGTGAGGTGCAGCAGCTCCCTCTTGCTTTTCTCCCTCCTCTTGATCATCTCCAGGATGGTGACAGCTCGGCTCAGGTCCCTGCGAAGCTTCAGCATCTTCTCGTATGATGCCTCGTCGTTCTTACGGTTCTAAACAAACGGGGGTGGAGGGGGCACTTCTTTAATATTCTAAACTATCATTTTAGTTTTCAGATTTGTTCTTTCTCCCATTGATGAAGAGCCTAAACTATTGACTGGCCACCCTGGACACATTCTGTTACACCTGCTGGTGTCTCAGAACCGCTCCCGTTCACAGCTGATCAAATAAACTGTAAAAACTGCTTCCCAACACCCACATAGTGTTCTGCTACTCTTGAATCACAACTTGATCGCTTTACCTCATAATTACTGATCAAGTTAAAATGACCAAATGCACTAGATCTCATTGAATGAAGCTGGTTTTAATCACCTGAATTCTCTGTGACCACATGGTGTCATCTACGTCCTTCATAAGGCTAACAACCTACAAGCACACAGAGGTTGTCCTCTGCAGCACCCAAAGTTTACCATGATAAAAACAATAACATTAAGAGATCAGTGTCTAGAACTCTTATGGATTATTTGAATCCGTTTGAGGATCATTTTATAGCAGTAGCCAGTGTAGTAGCCTGCTGTAAAACTTTTTATAGCCAACCTGTCAAACAAATAATTGAGTCTAAGACAAGCCAGAGGAATTCATTTACATCTAACCAGTCGGGTCCTGCTTCACAAACAGCAGTGAAACATAAGACTGAGGAGGAAGTACAACTCCGTTGACAATAAGAAAAAAATTCCTACAACAAGGAGGAATGTCTCTTCCTGTGGTCCACTCTGTAAGCTAAACACGCAACACGTCTAAAGGAATTCCTCTTTAAGGGGGTGTAGGTCTGAGGGGAATCAAGCTGCACACAAACACAAGACTAGGCTTGGGCGGTATTACCGTATTACCGTATACACGCGGTATTACAAAATAGCGATGATGTCAGTTCCAATACAGTCATGAAAAACAGCTGTGCGACTGACCAGTTCCTCTATCCTCCCCATACTCCAGCTCTGCAGGGGGAGCGTGTTGGCTGTGCCAGAAAACGGCCTCCAGCTTACAAAGTCAATAAAAACCACAATTCTAAAAAAGCTGGAGGCCAAGTATGAATCTGATTCAGTGCGCAAATTAATGCGAAAATGCACTTTCCTCTATCCTCGTTACCGTGGCAGATATGAGCTTGATGACAACGCACTGGCTGAATTCAAAGCTGAATTACAGGCCGAGATCGTGAGCTTAGAGGGGCAAACAGCACCAGAAGCAGTGGCCATCCGAACCATAGAGGAACGAGCACAACCTGAACCTCCACGCAAAAAGATGTCTCTGGGGGCTCTCCTGCAAAAACGAGCCGCTGACGCTGCGGCGTCCCGTCAGCGCAGAGCAACGAGCTGGAGCTGAAATAACAGCGTACTGTTTGGAACCTGTTATTCAAGGGGACGAAGACTCTCTTCTCTGGTGGAAATATGCTGGCAGCCGTTTTCCCCAGATGTCACGACTAGCCCGGAGGTATCTATGTATTTGTGCCACCAGCTCACCATCGGAGTGGGTTTTCAGCACCGCAGGTAAAGTTCTTGGTCCACAACGTGCAAACTTGAACCCAGAAAAAGTAAACATGCTGGTTTTTCTGGCGAGAAATCTTAACTAGATTTGCTGCAACATGCCGTAATGTTCACACTCCTGTGTGTGTGTGTGTGTGAGCGCGCGCATGTGGCCGTGTGACGGAGTTTTCTTTTTATAATTTTAATGCAGTTGTTTTGGTTGCAATAATTTTTATAATTTCAATGTTTATGGTTATTCAACTCTTGTTGACTGTTACGGCCTATTTGCACTGTTTCATGCTGCTCGTTGATAAGTTGTTCACTTGGTTTGCGCACAACAGCTGTCCTGGGTTTTTATGTTGATTTATTGCTGTTGGACTGTTGACTCTTTGCACTTGTTTCTAAGCTGCGTTTTTTGTGTTAATAAATGTTGTTAATAGTATGTGAGTTGCGTTGTTATTTTTTTAGTAATTGTTTGGTATTCGGATTCAGAAAGGTGAAGGTCCACTTGAGGCTTACGTCATACTTTTTAAGTATTCACGGTAATACCGTAAACCGGGGTAAAATTACGTGGAAGTTAGACGGTATTCAAATTTGGATACCGCCCAAGCCTACACAAGACCCACCTTCCTGGTCTGCATCTTCTCTGTGCGCCGACGGAAGGCCACGTAGGGGTCACCAGTGCTGGAGCCATCTCGTTTCTCCTGCTTCACAGTGGGGATGAGCGAGTTGGCTTTGCTGTTTTTCCTCTTGCGACTCCAGTAGTCAAAGACCTCTTTGATGAGCTCGTCGTCCTCCTTCAGCAGCAGTTTGGCTTCAGCGAGACTCACAAGCTTGGGAGAAAACAGGAGATGCCTATAATCAGAGTTACAGCAGTAGGGGGAGCAGACTGTCCACAGCATTTATGGGAATTATTTAGGGCTGCCACCAATAGTTGATTCACCACAATGATGTCGACAAAAATCGATCGTTCATATAAAGTACTGTTTTTTGTTTTATCTTGCCTGCTGCTGCTCCACTGCTGATTACTGACTTTTTGCTCGAGACATGCGCAGTAGTGGCCATCATCAGGGTGAGCCGTCGCCTCACCAAAAAACAGACACGGTGAGCCGGCAACATAGTTCAGAGGTTTGGGAGCATTTTACAAAGACAAAAGAGAAGCATGTACAGAGCAAAGTCTGAACATTAGAACTCTCCTTTCACTGGAGCACAACGATGATGCAAGAACACTTTAAAAAGCAAGCACATCGTGTCGGGGAAGATTCACCTCTGTAAGCTAATTACCCCTCATTAGCTGCTAACATCAACAGGAAGTTACTTGTATTTAAAGCTGTAGCAGCAACAATAGTGATGGCGATTTAATTACCTTTAGCATACGTATGTCATGCATTAGCTCTAACGTCAAATGCTAATGGTTTATTGTATCTTGCTACATTAAGAGTTTAAAAAAAGTACTCCTCTTAAATGGACTAGTTTGTTATCAAGGCAACATGCACACTTCGGCAAGCAAATATTCTGACCGAGGCCATTTTGAACTTATAGGTGATGGTATGAGACCCGTCGTTTGATAATCACCTTGTCTTTATTTTTATTCACATCCGTATTAAATAAATCACACAGACATTCTATAAGTTACTGATAAAAGCATGATTACATTCTACAAAGGCTACGAATCCCTGAAATATCTTTTGTTCCTTTTTAGAGATTTTGCTTAGACAAGTTTACTCCACCATCGACTGTCGGAGTTCTACTGTGTGGTGCAGATGCTAATGCTAACAGTTAGCTTCTACTAGTGGAGATGTTCTGTTTCTTGGACATTAGACCAACAACAGCCTTACCCGTCGTGAGTCAAGATGGGTGAGTCTGTGGATGTTAATCAACAGTAAATTCCTACAAGTGCAGTTGTTATGAATATTACTCATTACCCAAATGTAATTTCTACTTGTTTATTTCTTTTCAAACTTCGTCAATATGAATATTATTTGGACAAGAATAAAACATTATTGCTATGTTGAACAGGAATTACTGAGAGGTGTTGATTAAATATTAAAATGGCTTGCCATAAAGGCTTGTTTTAGACAGATACAGGGGGAGGCGTAGAACAATATGAACGTTCAGTCATTAATATAATCTGACTCAGCGATTGTCTGCGTGACAATGTCAGAGATAAGAGCCATTGTTCTGGATTTGTTTTTTAGCAGCTTTGGGAGTCTAAAATATTTCCTCACAGTAGACTTGAAGCATTTCCTAGGCCCTGTGGTTGGTTCTGCTGGATGTGTTAGTTTCACTTTGGTCATCTAATGTCTTTTTTATTTGCGGTGTTGGGAGAGACGTCTTTACGGTGGGTTAACCACAGCGGTTTACATTGTGGTTAATAGTCAAACCAGTTAATTCCTGCAACCCCAGTGGTAGCGCCAGTGTTCAGCAGTCAGCACGCCCCAGGTCAGCTGTGGCTACATCGTAGCTCATCCCCACCATTGTGTGAATGACTGTTTTGAAGCACCTTGTGGGGTTGCAGAACCCTAAGAAGGCACTATATAAATACAGACCATTTACCATATACTTTATGCATGACACGAATAACCAATGGCCCAAAAAAACTGGTGATTAGCAGACTATTAAAATAGGTTGTGGCAGCCCTAGAACGATTGTCCCAATAATGAAAGAATTAAAGTCAATTATCATTAACTGGGTGTGTTTAGGAGCAGAGATCATGTGGTGCCAACTAGGGCTGAACGATTTTGGAAAAAAATCCAATTGCGATTTTTTTTTCTTTAATAATGCAATTGCAATTTAATTCACGACTATTTTCTTAAGGGATTTTTCTCATATTCCAACTGATGCAAGCAAAAATAAATAAATCAATGTATTATTTAACATATCAGATGAATTATAGATAAATGATTCTTATACAGCTCCGAGTGACATGTTGACTGGAAGTTGAAGCGCTGGTAGCTGGCATTTTAGCCATGCAACTCTCGTATATGGTGGTGTGATGTATTTTTTTTAGCTGTTGATAAATGTTCGTAGTATTACGTTGTGAGGTAGCAATAGTAGCAAGGCAGGTTTTACACACTATCTGACTTTGCGCAGCATCTTTTTTTTTTAGTAAAAATATTTCCACACAATTGATGTGCATTTCCTCTTTGGTAACACATTTTGTGTAACATTGGATTTTGTTGAGCCGGAGGCCATTTTTTAACCAGTTAAAGCGCAGAGTTTTCTTCTCTCCTTGCCTTGTCTGAGGTGCTCGTGACCAGTCAAAGCCTTTGCTATTAGAAAATCTCATTTTGTCACGTTGCAATATAATTGCATATGCAATTAATCGTTCAGCCTTAGCGCCAACCTGTTGTCCGCTGCCTTTCTCCAGCCTGTCGATCATTTCCTCAAACTGAAGGTAGCTGATATCCATCTTCTTTTTCAGCTTGTTGACAAAGGCCTCATCGTCTGAGTCCAGGTCGTAGTCCGGCTGCTCTGTGTCCAAGCTGAAAGCTGCAGGCAAGAGTCAGAAATCAGCTGTAGCAGTGACAAAAGGAGATAGTTCATTATAAACACTATAGTTTTAGAGTATATGCAGGAATCTCAAAATTAAATTTAAGACTTTTTCAAGACTTTTTAAGACCTTGTAAAAATAAAATTAAGACTATTGCAAAGAACTAATTGTTAAACACTCATATATTGTTTTTAAAAACTGCATCGATTCATTTTCCACTTCAAGTTGGGTTACGTCACATCCGGGACAGCGAGGCTGTAGCAATAATACGTAAAGCCATGTGGTACTAAAATGCAAACTGTGCACATAGAAGAAAAAAATATATATATATTTTGTTTACATGCATCTATTTTTCAAAGCCACGAACTCCGAGGCTGTGAAAAAAGTGACAACTAAAATAACTCCCCTCAAACAAGGTCAGGGGTGGACCGTTAAAGCGCCCGAGCGCCAATGGCGATAAATTTTCTCGTCGGGCGGTAAATACTCGACGACTTACCGCCCGGGTGGCGCCCAAGCTTTATTTGTCATTTACACACCGGCTTTTGCCTACATCATGGCCCCGCCCTGTAGGAAGCTGCGGTTTTCGTTTCGCGCGCGTGAACCTGCGCGCCTCTAGCCACCTACTGCACTTGTACGATTCGTGCACGTACTGCACGATTAGTTATAGTCACGTGAACTATAAGTTCACTATTAAAGACGAAGTGGAACCACGCTAAAAACACAAGCACGCAGGAAGATCGTGCCACCACAGGGATTGGATTTCTTGATGAAATCTCCGGCAAAACGCTTTAAAACTAGTGAGGAGAAGAGAGACAGTTCGAAACGGTATGAAGCAGAGACGCGTGTGCGTAGGTGGAATGATTCTTGGCGGTTTAAAGAAGACGGGAGGCGCAGAGAATGGCCGTGTTCGAGTTGAGCTGCGCCTCGTCTGGAAAACAGACGAGAGCAGACGGAAGCAGCAGGGGGAGTGGCTGAAAGCCGGCGTTTCGCCGGGGACACACCGGCCGCGGAAGCGCCCGAAGCGAATCGCTCACGAAGTCCGGCCGCTGCTCAGTTCAGATCAGACGCGCCACATTCGAGGCGCGTCTCGGCTCCGCTGTGGTTTTTCTTTTAACTACCTGGTGTCCTCAATTTCCTCAGCTCTTTTCCTCTACGTGTGTGTGTGTGTGTGTGTGTGTGTGTGTGTGTGTGTGTGTGTGTGTGTGTGAGTGAGTGAGTGAGAGAGACTATGGTGTGAACCAGTTGTTTCTGCCAGTTGAATCTCTTGTATTTTCCTGTATGTGTAGCTCGGGGGTGACGATGCTGAAGATATCGCGTTAGCATTCACACTTGTTCAATTTTCAATTTTAATTCTGGTGCCGGTTAGAAGCTGAAACACATCCTCACGTGCTTGTGGATGTCATATATTCTATATGAAGACATGACTGTAATAATAAGTAAAGGTTAGCAGCTGTAGCTTCAGTGTGCTCATAGGAAACGTGACAAAAGAAAACAAAACACATTTCTCTTTATGGCCTATATAGTTGTCATCATCAACGTAGCATGATTTACAGAATACATGTGAACAACTAACATTTCATGTTCTACCACCGGATGTTTGGATCAAAATATGAACCAATCAGATCTTAGATCAGGTGAGAGCCAGGCGTTTCCCGTCATCCTCTAGGTTTTGCAGCCAAGGGAGAGCAACTGCAGCGCCTTGCTCCAAAATCTGCGGCCGCCTTGATCTCACAAGGTTATCGTTGCCTACGTATGCATGACGTCAGAGCAAGCCGGCGTCAATTCGGACACAAATCTAACCGGCATGCACTGCTCGCCGATCACTGCTGGTCTAATCTGCGCAGAACTAGCTCATCTCGAACACAGTCAATGGCTCGAATACAGCAAAGCAGAGTTGGTGATGTACTGAGTTGTATGCTGGAAGTATGCGACGACAAAATCGTGTTTTGTTGAGGGAACAAACAAATTCAAACTTGAATACGTTATTATGTTTGTGAATGTGTACAAAATAAAGGTTTATTACATTTAAAACGGTTCAGTTGTTATTTTGACTCATTTTGGCAGCTGACCAGCGGGGCCGGTAAATTTTCAGAGTTACTGGCCCGGTTGGCCGGTTGGTTTTGAAGTTAATGTCCACCCCTGAAGGTCCTCACGTGCTGCAGATGTACATCTATTCTACAGTGGGTTTTGTAGTGACCTCTGACATTTATATACTTTCATTTTATTGAGAACATTAAAAAAAATGTATGTGATGTTTTTGCTAAATGCAATTTTCTACCAGTCCTAATGTTCAAGAGAGCTAAATATAATAAACTGAAATAACTAATCAGATAATTATTAGGGATTATCATATAATAATTAACTGATTATGAAACTAATTCACAAAACACCAAACATAAAAACATCTGAAAATATTCCTAATTACTGTAATCATTCTTCAGTAGGATGACCAGATCCCAACTCACCAAATGTGGGACAGAGACTGCTCACTGTGGTATGTGATGCTTCAATGTAACCAGATAGTTAAAATGTTTCTTTTTTTTAATCTATTCTGCCTTTTATCTCTAACATGACTGTTAAATATGCATACAATTATTATATAATTGATGTCTTATATATTCTACTTGACAAACTTGAACAAGCAAACAGCAAAAGGTTTAATGCTGTTTCTCAGTTCCTCTCCAGTTACCAAAGCTTAACTCAGGCTGGACCTTCTACAGTGGCTCTGAGTAACTTTAGCTACAGTTACTTTAAACCATCAACTGATTTTATAAATATAGACAAGCCCACTATAAAATAATGAAGGTTTAAGCCGCTTTTTTAAGTTTTCACTGAATATTTGTGCTGACTTTCCACAACAGAATGATAGTAGAAGCACCAGTAACATCTTTTGATCTATTTATGTTGATTTTCCACTAATAACATCTCATTAAGAACATAGTCATACTGTGTTGCAAGTTTTTCTTCTTGATTTCAAATCGCTTATATAACATGTAGGGAAGACGTGCCCAAAGGGTTTAGCCTGTATGCACCTGAAACAACCGCAGCACCTTGTCTGTCAGAATCTTCTTTAGGTTAGGATGGACCTGTCTAATTACTGGGAAAGCTTTGACCAACACGAACTCAAAACCCCCCTTTGGGAACTCTTTGATTCACGTGAATGCATTTGGTTTCATAAACGGCAATATTTGCTGAAAAGCATCAAGTTTTCAAGTATGAGACGAACGTATTTTAAAATCACGTCAATACTAACCAAATTTAAGACTTTACTAAATCGATTTAGTTTTCATTCAAGTTCAGGGAATGGTGTTTTTCTGCTGTGTGGAGACACCATAACACCTCAGCATGCAGTGTTGCTGTGTTGCCCAGAGCCACTCTGATATCGGCTGCAGAAGATGAGGAAGCAGAGACAGCCCGGCTCGTAGCTGTGGCATTAGGTGCGACTGTCGATGGTGGAGCAACGTTGGGACTATGTTGTGGTGGTTCAACCAGATTTCCACAGAAGCTAGCGATGGACAGCTGCCGCTCTCGGCGGCTAGCAGCAGCCTTGTGGCTAGCACAACACATGTGCGACTTTAAGGAGTTTATGCCCATTGACACAATACTTATTTTCTTCTTGCATATCGTACAGTATGCCTCCCTCACGTTCCCCTCGACTGGCTGCAGCCATTCTTTGAAATCCGGGATATCCAGCCAGGACGCTGCAAACTTGCACTTTCCCATTCTCGTTGTGCGTTCACGTTCACCAACATTCTCTTCGGTCTTAACATTTAGGTGCGTTCGTAATATGCACCGGGAACACCAGAGCGTTCTTTGCACTTTTGAGCTTCCACCCCGTCCGCCCTGGTGCTCCGAGAGAAAAATTACTAACACACCCACAACAGCGTAGTATTATTATTATTTTTTTAATCTTTTTATGCTCCCTCGGTTCGTTAAAAAATAAAACTAAAGCAAACTGTTGACTATCTAATCCAGAAAAAAATCTCTAAATTTAAGACTTTATAAAGCCGTGATAAGACTAATACTTTTTAAGGGTCTTAATTTTTCCTAAATTGATTTATTACCTTTTAATACTTTAAGACTCCGCGGATACCCTGAGTTTACACTACATCAGAAATCTACGGGTTTATCAGGCAGTTCCACACAAAACATTTTCATTATATGACCGGCTCATAATAACATTTCACAAAGACTTCTGCAGCAATTTGATTAAAAGCAGCTTTCATCTGGAAAAAATAAATAAATTTAATGTGAAAGACTTTTTATTTATTCTTTAGTGAGGAAGTGTCTTTTGGTGAATTCTTTAACCACAAAACCCACTGGAAATGTTTTAATTAGTCAGGCTGCACAAGCCATTTATAAAACCTAGGTTTAATTACTGCTCTTTCATAATAGCATTTCACTGAAAAGACTTTAGGCTCCGTTGAACCCATTATTCATTCCAACAGACTCATTTCAAAGCACATTTCTGCCAAAGTAAAAATCAGGTTTCTTTGTCATTTAAGTAAATAAATAAAACCATAGAAATAGAATTTTTAAGGCACAGGCTTCAGTCGCTCAGGGACAAACAACACAACAGTGTTAAAACCAGAGTGAAGCGGTTTGATGTCACAAAGAAAGTGCTGACTCAGTGCTACAGGAACTAAATGACTTTGAGGCGAGTCCCTTTGGAATGATGCAGAATGAAAGAAGAACAAAGAAAGTTCTCAAGTGTTTGTGTCTGAATCCAAGAATGAATGACTCATTAAAAACATCCTTCACTTTTGAATAAATACAAACTAATTAGACCAAGCCTCTTGACACCAACTAATTCATGAGGCCATGTTAAAGAGGACCTCTGCATTAACAACATGTGATCACGGCTAATGAGAATAAAACAGTTCAGACAAACTGGGACGTGTTGGACATTAACATATGCAGGATTATCAGAATTAATTACACAAGTTTGACCTTTAGAATACCCGAGGAGCTAATGAACAGTAAACACAAGCTGGTGGTTCTGTAAAGGCAGCTCATCAGATGCTCTGCTACAGACTAACACGGTTCTGAAGCCTCTCACACACCTTCACTGATGTGTCTTGGTTTGTGTCATGTTCAATTGTTCAATTCAGATCAATAACTATTTAATAAAACTCATTCAAGGCTCTTAGGCAGCAGCACTTGTTTTAATTCAACGATGCATCTCAGAGGAAGAACACTGAAGAATTTAAATGAAACACGACAAACTAATGTGAGTGTTTGCTGCTTCAGCCTTCAGATCCAACAGCTCAGATTTAATTTAAGCATCACTGTTATTTGAAACACCTGTTAAATTTAACGCTATTAATCAAATAACAATCAAGCTTTTGAAATTATAAACTAATTCTAAATTAAAGACTAAAATAATCTTAAGGGAATATTATTTGGCGTTCTACAGCATGAAGGTCTCAGGACCCTTGAAACCAGCTGCTGATGAGACTAAACATTTGTCACTGACAGCAGAGCTGTTTCAGTAAAAGATAATTGCTTTTCTGTAAGAAACAATCGCAGTGACCACTTGTGACACTGAGTCACTGAACTATACAATCCTGCAAACTCATTTCCTCTGATATTACAAAACAAGGCAAACTCAGACTTTTACAAACACATGATAACTTAGTGAAATCCCACAAAACCAATAATGCCTGGTTAACACATCTCCAGCAAAAACAAAATGATTAACTGTGATTTAAAACATAATTAATTTACCTAATAAAGCTCTATGCCAAGTCCAGTCCAACTTTACTCTATTTTCAATAATAAGTGAACATTCACCAGGAACGTAATAAATAACGTTCACCAGGGCACCCAAATACAGGTGCTGGCCAGTAAATTAGAATATCATCAAAAGGTTGAAAATATTTCAGTAATTCCATTCAAAACGTGAAACTTGTACATTATATTCATGCAATGCACACAGACCAATGTATTTCCGATGTTTATTACGTTTAATTTTGATATTTATAGGTGACAACCAATGAAAACATCAAATCTGGTATCTCAGAAAATTAGAATATCCTAAAGGCCAATGAAAAAATGTTTGTTTCTCTAATGTTGGCCAACTGAAAAGAATGAACATGAAAAGAATGTGCATGTATAGCACTCAATACTTAGTCGGGGCTCCTTTTGCCTCAATAACTGCAGTAATGCGGCGTGGCATGGACTCGATCAGTCTGTGGCACTGCTCAGGTGTTATGAGAGCCCAGGTTGCTCTGATAGTCGTCTTCAGCTCCTCTGCATTGTTGGGTCTAGCGTATTGCATCCTCCGCTTCACAATACCCCATAGATTTTCTATGGGGTTAAGGTCAGGCGAGTTTGCTGGCCAATCAAGGACAGGGATACCATGGTCCTTGAACCAGGTGCTGGTGGTTTTGGCACTGTGTGCAGGTGCCAAGTCCTGTTGAAAGGTGAAGTCTGCATCCCCATAAAGTTGGTCAGCAGCAGGAAGCATGAAGTGCTCTAAAACTTCCTGGTAGACGGCTGCATTGACCCTGGACCTCAGGAAACAGAGTGGGCCAACACCGGCAGATGACATGGCACCCCACACCATCACTGACGGTGGAAACTTTACACTGGACCTCATGCAACGTGGATTCTGTGCTTCTCCGCTCTTCCTCCAGACTCTGGGTCCTTGATTTCCAAAGGAAATGCAGAACTTGCTTTCATCAGAAAACATAACTTTGGACCACTCAGCATCAGTCCAGTCCTTTTTGTCCTTGGCCCAGGCGAGACGCTTCTTGCGCTGTTTCTTGTTCAAGAGTGGCTTGACACACGGAATGCGACACCTGAATCCCATGTCTTTCATGAGTCTCCTCGTGGTGGTTCTTGAAGCGCTGACTCCAGCTGCAGTCCACTCTTTGTGGATCTCCCCCACATTTTTGAATGGGTTTGTCGTCACAATTCTCTGCAGGGTGCGGTTATCCCTAGAGCTTGTACACTTTTTTCTACCACATTTTTTCCGTCCCTTCGCCTGTCTGTTAATGTGCTTGGACACAGAGCTCTGCGAACAGCCAGCTTCTTTAGCAATCACCTTTTGTGTCTTGCCCTCCTTGTGCAAGGTGTCAATGATTGTCTTTTGGACAGCTGTTAAGTCAGAAGTCTTCCCCATGATTGTGGTGCCTTCAAAACAAGACTGAGGGACCTTTTAAAGGCCTTTGCAGGTGTTTTGAGTAAATCAGCTGATTAGAGTGGCAGCAGGTGTCTTCTATATTCAGCCTTTCAGAATATTCTAATTTTTTGAGATACCAAATTTGGAGTTTTCATTAGTTGTCACTTATGAATATCAAATTTAAATGTAATGAACATTGGAAATACATTGGTCTGTGTGCATTGCATGAATATAATGTACAAGTTTCACGTTTTGAATGGAATTACTGAAATATTTTCAACCTTTTGATGATATTCTAATTTACTGGCCAGCACCTGTATTAACACATTGGAAAATAATTAGATCAAACACCACTGCAGCCCAACATCTAATCTGCTTCATTAAGGTTCATCTTCTCTACATTCTGAAACAGCTTAACCATTAGAGAAGACCCACTCACGCTGTATGTGAATTAGCTGCTTTGGCATCTTGTAGTCCCCGGGGTAGAGGGAGTCATAGTAGGTGATGTTGCTCTCTGCCTCGGGGACCGGGATGACCATGTTGTCCCGCTTCTCGCCATAGACCTGCTGTGCCGAAATGGCCCGCTGGAGATGGTGTTCCTGCAGCAGATGGCAAAAAGCTCAAGGTGAGGAAAATGAAAACAGGCCAGAAAAGACAGACAAATGTTTCAAGGATCAAACAAACATTTAGACTGATAAATGAACACGATTTATGCAGATTTTTAATGTCAGTCACAACGACCCACACGTTTGTTTTGTAACTGAAAAGCACACGTGCACACAGCAAACAAAAAACTTCCCAACACAAACTAGGCCTCTGTAGTTCTGAGTAAGGTCAGCCCCCACATTACTCATAATGTATACAACACTGTAACTAAAGTGGTTCATAGAATGCTTCCCCCAAAACACCATCTTAACGTTAAGTTTATAGCACACAGTAGTTTTCTTCAACGCTGTGTTCTTGCTCATGCGGACCTTAGACCACCATGTTAGGGCATTTATGCCAAGCTACTGCCTCTGAAATCCACTATCAATGAGTAGTTAGCTTTGCTGCTAGCTGTTAGCTTTCTCTGGAGGTTCTTTAACATTTCTGGTACTAGAGGAGCCTACAGTTCAATCTGGTGATCCACCATTAATGCAGCTAATTAAGCTAGGTTGCTAAAACAAGCTGGTGAATAGTTCAATTCAATGCCAACTAGGGTTGTAGGGATTAACTGGTTTGACTATTAACCATGGCGCCAAACACAGTTAACCCAGTGACTTCATCACAGCAAAAGCAAAAAAATCAAATAAAAATAAAAGCGCACCGACCAGATCAAAGTTAAACTGGAACGGACGCAAGCAGCAGAACCAGTGACAGAAACCACAGGGACTGATCAGTTTGGTAATATTTTGGATTCCCAAAGCTACCCCCAGGGCGTTTTAAGCCTTGTGGGCCGCCAGGCTTTGCTTTACCCCCGCCAGGTCAAGCGTCACTTATTTATTTTAAATAGTTTGAACAAAATGAACAAAACTAACATAAAATGTTTAAATGAAAATGGGTCTTCATCCTGCGAGTCTGACTAACTGCAACTGGTTATATGGTTGAGAGTGCAATAGCGCCGTACACCTGACCTCTTAGTCGGCTGTAGGAGAGTCGAAGCAGCCAGTCAGCCGCGATGGTGAAAATCAAACCAGCAGACTTAATCCAAAAGGGGTAGCTGACAATTTAGCGGATGGCTCTACAACAGGGATTCCCAAAGTGTGGTGCAGGGGTGCGCGAGCTGCCGCTAGGGGGTGCGCGAGGTGAAAAGTGTAATGGCTGCGGAGCTCAGAGAAGTCTGTCATGTGTCACCCTTAGCGTAGAAACTCATTTGTGGGTGGGCCAAAGAAAAAGTAAGTGGGCACAATAAATGTAATTGAAAACACGTATATTTTTGCGCGCGCGCGTGTCCACCACATGTGCCCTAGCTTCATAATAACAATGCGCCGAGCTTCAGCACTCTGGCCTGCGCACGCCGATATGTTCAGTCGCGCGCGTGCGTGTCCTCCACATGTGCCCTAACTTCATAATAACAATGCGCCGAGCTTCAGCACTCTGGCCTGCGCACGCCGATATGTTCCGTATTTGATCATTTTTAACGGTGTTGGAGAAATCTGAAGGTGGTGAGTCATTCTGGCAGATTGTAACACCCTGTCTCATGCAGGTGTTCTGACATTGTAAACCTCACACACAGAACATTGTGGATGTAACAAAATAACAAGAAATGATTCCCATTCAGGCTATTGACAGCGCGCTGAAGATCTGAAGTTCAGAGTGAGTCTGTCAGAGGTCAGACGCGTTCCGGCTGAACCACGGCTCACGGGTGCACAAGTGAGCACATCTGGGCTGGGCAGAAGTCATTTTACAAGATTGGTTTAAATAGCGCGAGACGTGGTGACTTGAGCGGCTGTGCCGCGCGCACACACACAGATTCAATAAGCGCACACGCTGCTTTAACTCCGGCCCGCCGTCAGACTGAAGGCAGAAATGAACGCTGCCTCCACCGTGATTAAAACTTTTAAGAGGTTATTTTTCATTCAAGGTCAAATTAAGATATTAGCTTCTGGGATGAGTCGGGTCCACTCCAGCCAGTGACTCCTCATGAACCTGACCACATCTCACGTTACTGCAGCATGTTATTCCGGTCCGCATGACAGCGGATCGCAGATTCAGCCACACCATAAAACAGCAATAAGTCGGTCTGAGGCAAAAGTGAACATCATGGCTATATCTTGACCCTAATGACATTTGATTACGCACAAGTAGGTGATCAGCTCAGGTTTACGCAGAGCAGAAGGAAGGAGAGCGCTCTGGCTGCACAGGTTAAACGTTCCTACTTTAAGAAAACCGTTAAATTGCATTGTTTATGTGCTACCTGGGCACTCTAAATATTTATTTAAAATGAAATCAAAGGAAATTGTAATGGTATCGAATGTTTATTAATTACTATTTAAAAAATGAAAGTGATGGGGAATTTTTTTAACCCTGTCTGTTTAGCTTGACATCTGATATATATATATATTAGGGCTGCAACAAACGATTATTTGGATAATCGATTAATCGGATGGGGTCTCAACACGATTAATCGATTAATCGGATTACATGGGGAAATTTTTTAAAAACTGCTAGGGAAATGTTATTTCTCTCCTTCCTTCACTTTATTTAACACAACATTTTTAGAAAACAGTTCAATAGCAGAAAAACAACATGCCATCACCTAAATTGTAGGGATGCTCCGATCCGATCACGTGATCGGAAATCGGGCCCGATCACGTGACTTTTAAAAGATCGGAATCGGATGTTAAAGATCGGATTTAACCTTATAAAACAACAAGCATGACATTTTTAATCAATCTTGAGATTCAAATTGAATAACAATGGCTTAATTTTGTACCAAGTTTCACTTCCTCAATAACAACATGACAACATCATACAGCAGCCGTAACGTCACGTTTTAAAGTGGACAGCGGAATTCAGGTCGCAGTTAGCTAGCAGGTTAATGCTCGTCTCGCTCCAGGAGGGCAAAAAATGTCAGCGGTTTGGAATCATTTTAAACTGGAGACCGAATGCTGTCCAACAGCCACTTGCAGCGTGTGCAAACTGAGTGTTTCACGTGGTGGAAAATACAGAGCTGCTTTTAACACCACGAACCTGATCCGCCATCTCAAGAGCAAACATCCAGCTCTATATTTAGAGTTCACGGCGGCAACGCAGATCAAAACATGGAGCCAGCCGACAATGGAAGCTATGCTGAAAAACAAAGAAAAACTTTTTATGGTATCATGTTGGATGTCGTCATATAAATAATAATAATAATAATAATAAAAACCTAACAGGTCAGTTTGGAGGCAGTCTCCCTTTTTTCTTGCTATTTTATTGTATTGCTGAAGTATCGGATCGGGACTCGGTATCGGCAGATACTCAAAATCAAATGACTCAGAATCGGATCGGGAGCCAAAAAATGTGATCGGAACATCCCTACTAAATTGTCTTATAAGGTGTATAGACAGAGACCCTAAGCTACATCTATCTGTGACCTAAAATGCTTGGTCCAAGTTAAACAGCTTAAGGGCAATTCTCATCTGTTTTGTTTGATCTCATCTGTTGACATTTATTTTAAATGTAATTAAACATAGGCTGTGAATTAATCAAAATTGATCACTATTTCCAAAAATGACTGAAAAAAATACCAAATAAAACAAAAGTAAATGAATGCCATCCTCCTTGCGATGATGCCCTGGGCAACTGCCATAAAGTCACATCAAGAAATGCTGCTGATCATTCCAATGATCCCAAATAGACTCACATTAGGCCACATGAAAGCAACTGAACCCAAAAATATATTAACCAGTATATAACTGCACTCTCACACAACACGCCTGCAGCAACAGTTTGGACTCCTCCCTCCCCTTTAAAAGCGTTTTTGCTTCTGAGGACATTGTGGTTGTAAAACCACATGCTAGTAGTCTGGCCCCGGTGTGATCAACCAGTTTCTGCGGGAATGTGACGGCGGAACCAGGGCCAGATTAACACTTTGTTGTACCCTGGGCAACAATATTCAAGGGCTCCATCATCACAACCCAAGGATCACCATAATGTGGTCACATACAGAATATTTTACTGTAATATGCAGTAAATATACTCAATACTTGAATGCCTGACAACACGTAACCCGCCCAGAGTAACCTTTGACCCACCTCGTGTGGACTGGCCAATGAGGAGAGGGTCTTAACTTGAGGCCCTCTCTTCATTGGTCAGTCTGCATGAGACTGACTCTCAACTGACGTTCAGTCGTAGGCAGCGAAGCGTCTCTGTGCAGCGCAAAAGCCCGGGTGGACAGTTTGTTTAATGTAGGGTGACCATATTTCCATTTCCAAACAAGAGGACAGGGGATATGTGCCTATGACGTCACACTATGGCAACGCCACACAAACCATGTTGGGACCCATTTTTTGTAAGAACTAAATTAATATCAGATTCTGCCAATTAAAGGGCTCTAAAACAATTCATATGTAAATATTTTGCATATTTAATGCAAAATCTAATTTTTCTGCTTTAGTGCTGCAACAAGGTTTTATTAATAATAAATTATTATACATTTTGTTTTAATGCAGCATCGGTAAGCTTCCTGTGCACAGATTATTAAGGATGCTTGTTTCAGCTGTGAGATTAGACGATAGGATCAATGAAAAAATAAGTTGTCACACACTCCATGGAAACTTTCAGAGAATCCACAAATAGTGGCTTTCAAATGGTTTTGTTACTTTTTGCAAGTTTATAAAAGAAGCAGATGAGACAGCATGTCTGATAATTTTGTTTTTCATCTGATAATATTAGAACATGTCAGTAATGTCTGAGGGGCTTTTATAAACACCATATAACTAACACTACTGGAGAGGGCATGAATTACACAGAGGCTTCTGGGGAGCCCAGTTATTGGGGGGGGGGGGGGGGGGGGGGGGGCATTTTGCCTTGGCCCCCCAAAATGTCTTGAAACGGCCCTGGGTGTGTGACTGAGTTTTGAAGGTGATCTGAATTGTATCAGATGTATAAATATAACATGTGTATAACTTATTGT